AGGCAGCAGATTAATCAGCTGAAGGGCCAGATGTATGTCTCTGGTCCTGCGTCAGCTTTTTGCTGGATTTTTTCTAATACTCTTCATCGGTCGTAGATAGCTTTGTAGGCCTACCATTTCTTCTTTTATGCTCCATTTGTCCAGCTGCCTCAAATTTTTTTTACGGAAACAATACTTTTTTTCAGCTAATATCATTCGCTGTAGTATTTTTCATAGATTCAGCAAGTTTTCTGTTATGTGTAGAAACAACATTGAATCTTTGCCATAAGTTAAGTGCATCTTTTATGCCTGGATGATTCACAGGTCAGTGTTAATAACTGCTTTATATTCTAGGGTCAATACAAAGCGTCTTGAGGTGACTGTTGCTGTGATTTGGCGCTATATAAATAAAACTGAACTGAAATGAATTGAATTAAAGTTTTAAGAGGTTTAATAAAAAAAACAAACAAAAAAAAACACATTTGTCTGAAAATGTTCAGGTACAAGGACTGAGTGAAAACACACTCAGTGTCTAAAGAAAAACTTTCTTTGGACACTGGTTTCCTGAGAAAGTCTGGAGAACTATTACTCAAGACCACTTTGAAAAAGTGACAGGACAGTCTGGCTCCTTAGAAGCAAAATATGAAGAAATGAGGGGTGGCCAAAAACGTTTCCACAGTTAAATACATCCATAACTTTTTCACAAATCCCACTAACATACTAACTAAAACGATCATTTAATCTGCTTGGTGGGTGTAATTAGACATTTAATTACATCCAACTGAAAAATTCTTTAGGAAAAAAACACATATGAAGGATATTTTCAACACAATTTAAAGCTCTACAAAGCAGGAAACCACATATAAAATCCAACATGCCAGCCAATACGACACCCGGGGTGTAGCTGAAAACATCATAGCCCCACATATTAAAGCTCAATAGTCCAACATGTTGTAAAGTAGCAAAGAACTGACAGCAAATATCCAGCACAAAAAAGTGATTATGCTAAGTAGCATAGCTGCTAGTTCGCTTCTTTTTTTACTTGATTTTTCCAATAATGTACTGTCGGTGGAGAAATTTGATATGCTCATCTCTCAAATACCACCACAATGTGACCTTGAACAATGCACTTAAGCCCCATTTGCTCTGGCTGAACTGCTCAATGGCCATTAATAGCAGACGCACACAGAGCAGCTCATAGGTACGACTGACCAGGATAATGGTTTTATGAAAAATAAATAAAAATTGAGTTAAGAGATTCTAGACACAAGCAAAAGAGAGGACAGGAAATACGATGAGACTCAAAAGCCCAGAGAGAGCAGCACGCCCGCGAGGGTTAAGGTGGGGTGACTAATGGAAGGGCATCGCTACTACTGAGGTAAAAGCCAATGGCCTTGTGCTGATAACGGGGTGGGCGACTTCAAGGCTGAGAGCACAATAATAGCTTATACTCTCTGGACCACTGAAGGAGAGGCCCGTGATCATAAAGGGACACTGGCAGGAGAAAGTGTAGTAATTTGTGATGATTTTAAACTTCCTTTTTGCTCTTGGATGAAAATCAATCACCAAACGTGCTTCAGTTCTTTCCTGTATACAGTGAAATATTGATAATGACACCACTAGAGGTCTAAAACATGAACCGGGCAGACCATTAGACACTTCGTATTGACATCTCGAACATAAATCTCGAAGGAGAGTGGTCATTAGTTTAAATTACACACAATAGGGAACTGCAAGCAGCTGTTACAGTATTGCAGATTAGATTTTTAAAAATACTGTTAAAAATTACTCTATATATATTGTGTCATAAGACATATGAAAAGTAACAAATTCTCACAACTGAGAAACTGGAAATTTTTAACTATTTTGCTTGAAAAGTGACTTTGCTGAAAGCGTTTAGCAAAATAGTTGCAAATAGTTTTCTGAAAAATTAGATAACACTTAAAATATGGCAAAAAAATCTGTGGAAATATATTCTGATAGGCCTCAAGATATTGAAACATACGTGCAGATTCTCTACAAAGTAAAGAAAAAGAACGCAATCATATTATGATAGCTAACCATACCAATAATGGCATGTCACGTGATTTGATACAAACTTGTTACAAAGTAAAGAAATTTGTGGTTTGTCGATTATTTCTTTGCTGTGATAATACTTCTTGGCAATAATTCTATTTAGTTTTTCCTTAAATGTTGCCACATTTGTGAGAAAAATGCATTTGGGCAGCACCCATTAAAAATTTGCCAAACAGATGTCTGCCATTGACTCTTGTTTGGTATCGTTTATTGGATTGGATGATTGAAGTCTGAAGAAACAAGACAAACCCACCATTTAACAATTTATTCATCTAACAAACAGAGCCCTCTGCAGCATGTTGAGGAACCATGCAGAGCCACAACAGCCTGGCATCACCTCCTCATGGCTGGTCACACAGTCCTGTGGGATGGTGTCTTATTTTTTTGTCACAAGTCAGCCAGTGTGGTTGTGTTGGTCACTCTGACACGAACAGCACGCCTATGCTGATCAAACAAGTGTTCAGTGGCCACTTCATTTTCAACTCCCAAATTCTGGTCGTGGTCTCTTATAAACCCTGCTTTGTGTGATGTGCATTATAATCTGGGAGGATAGAGTTCTCTAGAAATATGGTATTGTCCACTGGTTGCAGAATCTCGTCATCACCATCATACAGTACTTGGCCTTCCATTTGGAAATGGTACCAGGGCTCACCTGCTGCAACTTAGCTTTGCAGATGACGCAAGCCCTAACCAGATCTGTCAAACATGGCCTGTTTGGAGCAGACAACAACTGACCGCTCTACCAGGGTCCAAGCTCGCATGTGCAAGAGTCAAAAGGAGAATAAGCTGTTTGCCACTGACAAAGTGGCAAATTTTACATCAACTCTGCTGTTCAACCCACAAATGCATTTTCCTTATAAATTGGAAGCATTTAAGGAGAAATAAACAGGCTTTCCAGGGGTATCAGGATTTTTTGCCAAGAAAGATTGTTACAACAAAAGAATAATCGTGTGTATTGTTTTATACTATCAAACATGTAATGTCAGATGACTTGATGTGACATATTGATGAAAAAGCTCTTGTTTGTGCCTGATTTAACCACATATTAGTAACCTCATGTTTGTCTAAACAGCACGGAGATGACTGGCATATACAACCATAGGATGTAGGATGCAATTAATTCCCAGGAATGGTGATTGGCTGTTTGCAGGAGCTTAAGTGTGCTAATCACATCTATGTACCACAGGGGCACTTTTTAAGCAGTGGGCTCTTAGCTTCATCGATCTCCACCAGCAGATACAGTAGTCCACATCAGTAATGGGAGGGAGTTCAAAGCCTTCTTGCTATACAAGGCTCTGTCATATAGAGTCTGAATGAATGAACCAAACTACAGATTTAATATAATAACCCTGATGCCATGTTTAGCTTTTTATTCAGCTCTGGTCAGTCAGACCATCTGATCACAGCTATAGCAGGAACAGCTGGATGCTGTGCCTGAGCGCAAGGTCACCTGACAGAAATCCAAGACAGCACAAACGCCTGTGGAAACAAGCTCCTCTTATCCACCTGCCTGAACTGTTTGCTCATACTCAGCCAAAAAATGTCAATCTTGCAAAAACATCTGGACAACTCAGACTGCAAGGAATTATAGTTTGTATTTAGCATGCACTTTCTAAAATAATAATAATAAAATAAATAAAAGGTACTTTCTATCACCTGATCTCACCGGTTAATCCTTACCAAATGATGATTATCAAACGCCTGCTGTTGACTGACTATTCTCCACCAACAGCCAGCAGGTTTGAACTAATGACACGCACCTCCCTGATTAAAGGAGCAATCACAGAGCAATCACAGAGGGCTTGTCATTTTTTAAGGCTTAGATCTATCTTTAGGTTTTATGGAGAGCAACGAAGTAAGTTGTAGGCTATTAAAAAAAGAAAAAAGGGAGAAAGACTGCAGCGGTGGAAGCTGTAGTTTCAGCTATGCACCGGTGTAACCTACTTACAATATCAGTGTCATTACCGCAGCCCGATCCTCCGTAAGACGGTGCAGCGGGACTCCCTTCTCCATCTCACCCATCCTCGAACCGAGATCCCCTCCTCCTCCACCACCTCCTCCAACACCAAGAGACTTTCCCCCCTCTGTATGTACTGTTATGAAGGCTTCTGCGGCAAAATATACTCACCTCTAGCAGACATGCCCGGTAGGTAGAGTCTCTTCTTTCTTTGCCGAAATGAACGGGAGAAGATGGCCCGGTGCAGCTGTGCAGAAGGTTGACAGTGTGATATTTCTGATGCTTTAAGTTTGAGCCTGTCATTTATTGGGATTGAGCGCAGGGACACACATACAGCCTGCGATTTGGTGGACTAGACTAGAACGAGCGGTGAAGAGGCACTTTCCAGCGACAGGGCGTGTCCTGGATCAGGCAGCATCCCTTTTCTCCCCCTCTCTTATTTTCCAACAAGTTTGTGCCCATATTTGAACCTAATATCACGGAATTATTAAGGAATAAATTAAATCATGCTTGAAATTCCTTGCCTGCAGCTGCTGTCGGCTCACCTAAACGTTAAACCGGGTATAGCCTACTTTCTGCCGGGGATGACTGTGCTGTTCTGGACGTGAGTTGGTCTAAATCATAAAGTTAACAGGCACTCAGGAGATGTGACTGTTGTTTCCCCCCCTGTTTTCCCATTAATATGACTACTTCTCTGGCAAACTCCTCCCTCACGTGACCTCCTAAACTTTACTCTTAAAGTGACACTTTAAGCAAGCATAAAAACTCTGTCCTGCAGCGGAAAAAACGCCTAATTTCAGATGGGAAATCAGTGCATTATCAGGGAGAGTATTTATAGTTATTAATTAACACTTCACTTGAGCTTATCGGTGGCTAAACCTGTGCCACTGAATATATGAAGCGAACATGTTTAACGGAATGTTGATCTCGGTTTGTTATTGAATTTATTGGTTTATAACTCAATTAGTATGCCTTGATAGTTGTCAACCATCAGAAGGGCTTGTTTAGTGCTCTCACGCCCCCTGGTGGTTGTCTCCATAACAAGCGTTTGGCGAAGGAAGTGCCACCGTGTCCAAAGTGAGCCTACGTTAACTCTCTGTAGACGTCTTGTTTACAGTACCTGTGCCAGGCCTGTAAAGTCCTGTTGTCGACAACGTGCTACGTGTTTTATTGCTTACATTTTTTTCTTTCGTTACAAGGGTCATTGTATGAAACCTCCAATCTGGATCGAGGTAGTAGCAATAGGAAGAAGAAGATAGAGGAATTCTCTAGGTCTTCTCGAGAGAAACTAGTCCAGTCGAAGAACAAAATGTTCTCCAAATTTACGTCCATTCTCCAGCACGCTGTAGAAGCGGTAAGTTTTTAACCGATGTTGATTTTATTTGTTGCCTGGCTTTTGTGTTACGTCTTTCTTTTGTTTTCCAGACACCATATATCACTACGCCAAACAAGGCTATCGTAGCTAATTGTTAAGCTAACCAATTAGCTTCGGCTAACGTTAGCGCTTTGTGTTTTTGTTGTCAGTTTGCTCATTCTGGTTACCTATGAATGTGCCTGAGTATGTGCCATGACAAAGTACTAAGTAGCCTTTTTTGTAATTGCAGCATGTCATCTGTCTGCATATAGCTTGGTAAACTGAGCTTGATAGATGCCGAGTTAGCTTATAATACCACCGAGATGCTAAGCTAACATTGTAGCTAGCTATCCCGTTTCAAACAGCAGGCTCTCGTCTTCAGGAGTGGTGTCAGAATAATTGGGTAACCGTGTTTGATATTGCGCAAACGCCTTAACGTTAATACCAAAGGGAACATGTGTGAGTTGTCCTCCTCAACAGTATTTAAGAACTCAGTATTAGCATGCTATCACGCCAGGCAGACAACTAGCTAGAAACCAGTAATAACGTGTCTCAGCTCTGTTTTCCAGCTGTTTGAAACCACGCACAATACAGGCAACTCAAAGTGAATAACTCTGACTTCAAATGCGGTCAGACTATCAATCCACTTCTAAATAGCACTTACTGAGTAAACGTCCAAAATCAACTTACAACTCTGGGACATACTGTTATATTTGTTTATGTATTTTAAGTAGATTTCAAATAGTAAAACTCTCATGTTACCTGACAACGAAATCGTTTACGCCATTATAAATGTTTTTGCAAACTGCTGGGCTTGAAATGCGATCACATCACAATCAAGGTGTCTTGTAGCTGCACATGAGAACCATTTAGCACGAGAATATATTAATGTCTCTGTTTGAAAGTGAGTGATATATGTAGAAATGTAATTGTAATCATTAGTCTCTCGATTATCATAAGCTCATCTTTTCAAAATTTCTTTTTCAGCTTGCCCCTTCGCTGCCATTACAGGAAGACTTTGTCTATCACTGGAAGGCCATTACACATTATTACATTGAGACTTCTGGTAAGGACTGTCTGAAACAATAAGTTAGAATCTATATCTTGACATCCACACAGATTCATGTAGTGATTTTTTTGGGGGGGGTAATCTTGTCACAAGTAGCTTTGTTTGGTTTTGCCTGATGTTCTTATGTTTGATGCTGTCATTTACTGCACCAATCTAATATCGGTGCGCATGTTAGAAGCTCCCCACTCTGTGAAAAGAAGATTAAATGGAAAAACTTTACTGTGCAGTCAAATGTAATATTGGCTGCCATCAAAATGAACTAATACTGTCCACACCACTGTCCACAATTGATGATCAAACTTTCCTAATTATGCAGTGTGTCAGAAAGATGACTGACATATTTTATAAATGTAACTACAAATGAGTTATGTTGTTACTAGCTGTGCTTCTGTATGTGAACAAAAAATGTGAAAAACAAATGAAGCTGTTGCATGGACTGCTAAAGATTGGTAAGGCATTTTCCCCTCATGTTTTTAATATTTCTCATATCTTTCTATGAATTTGCTTGTTAGATGACAAAGCGCCAGTTACAGACACCAACATCCCATCCCACCTGGAACAGATGCTGGACATCCTGACCCAGGAGGAAGCCGAAAGGGAGTCTGGAGAGACAGGACCCTGCATGGAGTATCTCTTACACCATAAGATCCTGGAGACTCTCTACACCTTGGGCAAGGCAGATGTAAGGCACTCATGCTTTTGCTGACTACATACAGGAAAGTAAACATACCATAAGGTTTTAGCTGTACCTAATAAGCCCCTTTTACACACACGCTCCTTTAATCTGATCTAAATGTGTCAGCTTTTTTATATTAATCATCGCCATTTGTCTTTTCGTTTCTCAGCATGAGACAAGTCTGAGTCCATGCTGTCGTGTAAACAAATAGACACACAGAAAATTATGACTGTGTGTATGTCTCTCAAGTTACTCTGCTCACTGAAAGAGATTGTTGTGGAGAGTGCTGTTAGCAATAACATGGGGGGGTTGGTATGAGAAAGCCGATGTAGCCTCCATCTCATTGTATTATGGCTGATTTACACTACCGCACTCAATCTTTGTGGAACCTACTACATACACAAGTGGCTCATGTCATAATGATGGCACATTATGTATTAGTTACTTTGTATCCCATGTTTTATATGCAATTGCTGTCGATAGAAACAAATACAATTCTCAGGCTTTTTTTCCTCTTCTAGGTTTAGGTCAGGGTTCTCTTGTTCTTTCCATATATTTGTCCCTGAAGTTGTTCTGCTTGTTTGTAGAGTCCCTCACATCCATTTCAATAGTTTCAGAAATCTCCCTCCAGTAATTTGCTGACATTTGTGAGTCCTTATATTGACACTATGACTATTTTTGTTATAATGAGTTGATGATTGTAATTCTCTCACTGATAAATTAAAAAACTTCAGCGAGAAAGTAGCAGGAAATGTACAGGTGGAGTTGAAAGTACAGGCCAGTTAAAATAGTTGATGGCTGCGTTAGCACAGCATTTGGCTACATTTCTAGTGAGGTGGAGGTCAGGTTATGATGAAGGGTTTCAAAGGTGTTTGCTGTTACGAAATAGCTGTGGTAAAGATATGCTGCTAAACTATAAATATCCAGTTATTTTGGTTGTTCAATAGTCTGTTTGATTATTGTTCCTAAATATATGATAATAAGCAGGTTTTTTTTCTCTTCACTGAAAAAAAAAAATCTAAGCTTAAGGATTTTTTCACTTTCCAGCTCTAACGATTAGTCCATAAACATTGAAGAGTGCAAAGGACAATTTGCAAGGCTTTAGTTGCTGGAGGTGAACATAAAACTCCCGAAAATTGCAGAGCAAGTTTCATGTCCTTCATTCAGACTGACATGTTGTTGTTGTAAAATACAAATTTACAGTAAATCCTTACTGCCGTGAAGACAGTGTCAGTGACTGGTCAGATTAACAAGAAACAACTGTCACAATATAGACGCCCATTTAAGTAACCTGACTGTCAAAACTAGTGTGCAGCACATAAATAGGCCTGTTCTGTCAGTGTTGTGTCAACGTCTGAATGAAGCTGTGGGAAACAGTCAAGGTTAAAGCTTTCTGTGTCTGGATGTCATTATGCTGTCACTGTCACAGACTGATGGAGCCAGAATTGGTATGTTTTCTATGTGTGTAAATAGCAGTATTGTTGAATAGCAAGGTTGTGATTTAAATTGTGAGCACTGGGTCTATGGAGGTTGGTGTAGGCTGACACTTTCTGTCACGAGTAGTAACAGTAAATACAAAAACTGTCACTGGCATCATGAAGTTCAATAAATGGTGTTTTCCCACCAGTGTCCTCCTGGAATGAAGCAGCAGGTGCTCACCTTCTACACAAAGCTGCTGGCACATATTCGACAGCCCCTCCTGCCACACATCAACGTCCACAGACCTGTACAGGTGAGAAGTGCTGCAGTCTGGATTTCCTAAAAATATTCTGCTAACTGACACATTATGTAACTTGCTTGGATCTTGTTTTGTGACTGTGACGTGACCCTGTCAGAAACTGATCCGTCTGTGCGGTGAGGTGCTTGCTGCTCCTACAGAAAATGAAGAGATCCAGTTCCTTTGTATAGTCTGTGCCAAACTGAAGCAGGACCCTTATCTCGTCAACTTCTTCTTAGAGGTAGGCTGCTAGGGCACCAGAGATCTGCACAATTGGGGAAATATTTCACAAGCAAATATTTCTTCTTTTTTTTTTTTTTAAGCACATAATTCAGAGAGTATGTCTTATCCTTGACGTTGTTTGTTAGAATAAGTCAAAGAGACCTGAGATAAAGAGCCCTGTGGCAACAGAAGCGGGGAAGGAAAACGCCTTGTCTCCAGACACTGGTCAGTCTCTGGCACAGGAACAAGCTGACCACCAAGATGAACCACAGGCTGCAGCTGCTGTCTCCACATCCAGTCCAACAAGTAACAATAACAGCAACAACTACAATCTGGTCACCTCCCTGCTCAACCTCACAAAGAGTCCTGTAAGTGTTCCCTGTATGAAGATGATTTATTTATGTATGTAAAGTCTTTCTCTTTTGAAGCTCTCAGTTTGAAATCATGAGCTGTGTCATATATTTTTCCTGTCCACAGGATGGCAGGATTGTGGTGAAGGCTTGTGAGGGCCTGATGCTGCTGGTCAGTTTACCAGAGCCTGCTGCTGCCAAGTGTTTGACTGAAAACACCGAGCTCTGTGAGCTTCTCACCGACAGGCTGGTCTCCTTTTATAAAGCCCTGCCACAGTCCATGGACCCCTTGGACATTGAGACTGTAGAGTCGGTCAACTGGGGGTAAATTTCTCAGTAAAACTTCATACTAAATAAAGTGACTCATAAATACTTATCTGCAGATCTGATTATTCCTGAAATAGTGTGCTCTGCTGAATACTATTTTTAGTGGTTTTATTATTTGATTTATTTGAATCCGTCCTTTAATACCTGTATTTTTTCTTCTCCCTCCTTTAGTCTAGATGTATATAACCTGAAGGAGGATGCTGCTGTCTTCACAGGGAAGAGGGCTCTCATCTCCTTCTTGTCCTGGCTTGATTACTGTGATCAGCTCATCAAGGAAGCACAGAAGGTTCTTACCCAGTGCTGACTCACTGTATTTTGATGACTCATATCATGAACAGACAGAATAAAAGAGTCTTTCCAAGGAAGTTTTTTTTTTTTTTTTTTTAAATAAATTAAATACACAAAAGGCTGAACAACATTTTTGTCTTGTCTTCACTGTCTTGCAGTCAGCAGCTGCAGTGATGGCAAAAGCAGTGAGAGAAAGATTCTTTGTTTCTGTGATGGAACCACAGCTTATGCAGACGTGAGGCCCTCTTTGAAACATCAATCATCATGTTTGTGGTCCTGTCAGTGTGCTACAGGCGTTGTCATGACTGCTGCTGTGGGTTTGTGCATTCATGTAGGTCTGAGGTTGGCATCCTGACCTCGACAGCTCTGCTGAACAGAATCATAAGGCAGGTGACATCGGAGGCTCTGCTGCAGGAGATGGTTTACTTCCTGCTGGGAGAGGAGAGAGAACCCGAGACTTCAGCTACAATCGCTCAGAATCCACTTAGACACAGACTCATCGAGCACTGTGATCACCTGTCAGATGAGGTTATTATACTGCATGCATCTTTACCACTATTTATTTCTGCAAACCCAACTCATTCAGGCCTTAATATTACACCTTTTTTTATACTGAATTGTAGCTAATATCTTTAAAAAGCATAAATGGCCATCTGCCTTTCAAGGACTCTGAGTTCCAGCGAAACATATGATTAACCCAAAGCCCATGAATTTTAATTAGTATTTGTAAGAGCCATTGTAGTCTTTTTCATCAAACAAAAGGCAGCTGAATCATCTGTTTGATTCTTCAGCAGTCGCTGCCTACTTGTCTGTTAGTGAGAAAACACTTAACTAGCTTAACTGCTTTTGCACTCTTTGCACTTATTGAATGAGAAGAGCCTTACTCCTTTCTTTGTCCCACCTCAGATCAGCATCATGACCCTGCGGCTATTTGAGCAGTTAATCCAGAAGCCCAACCAGCACATCCTCCACAACTTGGTGCTGCGCAGCCTGGAGGAGAGGAATTACTTGGAGAATAAACCACAGGAAGAGCGGGAGCCGCTCGAAAATGGCCAGCCTCATGATGCTGTGTAAGGACCCCCCTATGACCTTTAACCTCCCCTGAGCTGCTGGAAGTTGAAGATCCTCTGCACAAATGCAAAAATTTCGAAATAAAACCAATGCATGAAGTAGCTGTGTTTTCGAGATATCTTATTACTTCTCGTGCATAATTAGTGTGTGTTTTAATTGGTCAAATTCCTCTGAGCCTTGATTATGCAGGCTCACAAAAATGCAACTCAGCTAATTATTTACATAAATCAAGGCTGTGTGAGACTGAAACATAATGAGAAATAATTTGCATGTTTCTTCTTGTGCACAGTAATGAAAATCTCAATTAAGACGAACTCTCATGAGAGCTTCTTTCACTTGGTAATTGATTGTTTTTCATTCAGTAGCATTCAGTTGCTTGATGCATTAGTGTTATAATATATTTTCTCAAATAATCAATTTGAAGCCTTGAAGGACTTCAGTCTCACTGACAAATTATACAAAGCTCCAAGCTGCCACAGACACACAAAGGGCCATAAAATACTGTGATGCAGATGTGGGTTTTCTCAAATGCGCAGGGATCTGAGGCAAATCACTTTATGAATAAATGTTTTCTCTACAGAGATCTTGAGGAGGATCCACTGTTTGGTGATGACCTTTCTCCAGAGAGGAAGCTGTCTGGGTCTGACTGGCTCAGCACTTCTCCACCACAAAGTCCTGACCATTCAAAGTCTGAGGGGAAAACAGAAGTCCACAAGATCGTGAACAGGTGCGCAGTTTGTTCATGGTGATGCACCGTGCATCGCTCAGCTCAGCTCAGTTCTCACTGTTAAACTCTGTCACCTGCAGTTTCCTGTGTCTGGTCCCCGATGAGGCCAAGTCATCATATCACGTTGAAGGCACAGGATACGACACCTACCTCAGAGATGCACACAGACAGGTGAGAGTGCTGTAGGTTACTGTAAAGCTTGTGACACACTGGACAACAAATAGAGAAAAATCTGTCACAGTGCTCTCTGGGACTGTTTTGATCCCCTGACAGTGCTGCAGCAGCTCATTCTGTGTTGCTGCTCATTATTTTTCTTCATTGTTATTCTCAGTTCAGGGACTATTGTGGCATCTGCCAGCGGTGGGATTGGAGGGGAAATCCAAAGCCTTTTGAGAAGTGTAACTTGGACATCCCGTTCTTTGAGGGCCACTTCCTTAAGGTTCTCTTCGACAGGATGGGTCGCATCCTAGATCAAGTGAGTGTAATCTGTACTGCAGTATTTTCATAATTCAGATCAAGTGCTTGCTGTAGTGTTGATATATGCATTAATTCCTTCTTACTCCTCCGTTCCAGTAAAGCAAGAGAAGGTTAAAAAAAAAAAAAGTTCAACTTTAGTTCTAATTAAATAAGTAGTGTAAATACAGCTGTCGAGTGAGATTCACACAAATTAAAATGAAACTAGTTGATTATTCAAACTGATTTAATGTTCCCACACTTCCAACAGTTATTAGATTTGCTGCAGTCAAAAAAAAATGAAACACTGCTGCTTGCAGTTTACTGTGAGTGATGCCTCTCATGTTGGGCTTACAGAGATTACAGAGATTTTCTATTTTGTTTGCTTAATAATGACCACTGAAAGCCAGAACTTTACGGTCATTGTGAAGATGACTAATAAAGATTCAAAGGAAATATTCACTCTTTGGAACATGGGTTTGTTTCAAATCAACACGGTCCTTCTGCTCACCAGTGTCCAATTTACAATAAACTTTTAATAATATGAAATTGTAGCTTCACTTTAAATACTTTTCATGATAGGTAATTTTGTTTATTTACAAAAATGGTCTGTCGACCCACTTTGAGAAAAAATATTAAAGACAAAATCATGATAATTTCCTTGCCCTTTCTTACCATCAGAATTAATCAGAATCTGTAATCTGGCACAGATACATTAAAAAGATGTCAGATAATTGACTAGTAAAAATATGAAACACACCGATAAAAAACTTCACAGTGCAAAAGACAACTAGTGAAAAATTCTCTGTGATATATAGTTGAATTTCACACTGTAAAATAAAGCGTGCACTTGAGTTTCAACAGCAAATTCTGAGTTATAAAAATGAATAAAACGTGATTTTCATGCTGGGTTGAGCAAATATAACAAGCTGTACCACAGAAACAACAATAAAATAAATTAGCTTCACATATCAAATACTTTTGAAGATTTAAAAGTTTACAGCACGTCGTATATATGTTCGGACCTAAAACTGTGACATTGTTGTTGCGAATCGGAGATGCTCAAGCAGAACATGAATGAACAGAATGACTCAAGTAGAGTTTGGAGCGTATTTAGGAAATCAAAACTAAAAGCTGTCAGTCAGTCGGTTACGTAAATAAACTCTCACTTTGTGTTGTTTTCATGTTGTTACTTATTGTGAAGGAAAATTTTCAAAACTCTTGATCAGATCATTTTTATTTATTTAAATCTTCTTGCCTCTCTGTCCTCCAGCCCTATGATGTCAACCTGCAGGTGACTGCTGTGCTGTCCAAACTGTCTTTGTTGCCACACCCTCACTTGAATGAATACCTGCTGGACCCCTATATCAACCTGGCCCCTGGATGCAGGTCCCTGTTCTCTGTCATCGTCAGGGTAAGGTGCCCATCTTGATTGTGCTACAGCTGCAACTTGCAATCTTGTTTCCTTTTAAAGTAGTTGACCAGGATGTGACCGCTCGAGTTATTTGTTGTCTTCAAAGGAATTTTGATGCACAAGACGGCGATTAGATGGATTCGGTCTGCTGTCACTTTGGGAATTAATGGGATTGAGTCGGGAATTACATGCAATCTGTTTGTGAAAATACGATGATTAACTGCGATTAATCGGTGAAAATATTTCTCAAATATTGACATAGTTGCTGCAAAATCACAAAGATGTTTGGCAAAATTGCTTTTATAAACATAACCAGTTGGAAACCAGTTCAGTCGAGTCCCCTATTGCAAGGAGACATGTCTCAGATGAGAGGATTGTTGGCATCATGTTGTCAGTCTGTCTGGGAGTGACTGGACTCAGCTCGAGTCAGATTGTTTGGAGTCAGTTTGCCTCCCAGTAGTTGCCCTGTACAAAAAAAGTGGTCACTGCAGCTGCTTGGAGTTGGACCCCAAATGCAAAACGATTTCAGTGCAACCCCTGGGCAACTAGCAATGTTTCTGGTTGCAAGGAGGTAGCTGTCCTCTTTTCGTTCTAGTGTGACTGATCCATTAGAGTGTAATTATCTTATCCATCATTGATAGGAGACACTTCGTTGCCCAGAGCTCAAAGCCCAACTTTAATTTGTGTGCTGGGAGATTTATTACTTTTCTTGATTGATTAGTGCTGCTGCGTGCCATTTTGAATCTGGCTTCATGGTAATCTTGCTCACCCTGCTTCTTACCGGCTACAACACCAACTCGTTTTATTGTGGGAATCAGTTCAAATCCATGAAATCTGAAGTGGAACACAATGTAAAAGTAGTTTTAGATAGTAGTAGATGTGATTTACTGCTCTTGCTCAAATTAGCTGCTGTGTTTTTGTAATTGCTCTGCATTCGTGTGTGTGTGTGTGTGTGTGTGTGTGTTAGGTGGTTGGAGATCTCATGTTGAGGATTCACCGTATCCCAGACTTCACACCCAAACTCTTGCTTGTGAGAAAGAGATTATTAGGCATGGAGCCAGAGGGCATCACGTACGTACTTCCACATGATTCTGGGTCGTATGTTCTGAGGTGACTTTCAGGGGATATTCTCACCTTTCTGTTTGCCCTCCCTTTAGTATCGACCACATGACCTTGCTGGAGGGGGTGATTGTGCTGGAGGAGTTCTGCAAAGAGTTGGCAGCCATCGCCTTCGTCAAATACCACGCAGCTGCCTCGTCCTCGCCGTAATCGTCCTGCTGTTCGTCCATCTGCCTCGACCGGGCAGACAGGTCAGGATGGAACTGGGCTATTGGAGGTGCCGTAGTACCGGTGGCACAGGGTCGGCAAAATATTACCACTAACTGTTCATCTCTGTCAGACTGTTAAAGCCCACACCGACGGGTGTCATCACTCCCCTTCCTCTGACCTCTCGGGCTTCACTATAAAACTGTCTCAGTCTTGTTTTTGAGCACGGACAGACACTGTCCAGCCAGCAGAGGAATAAGAGGAGGAGAGAGGTTGGGGTGCAGAGAAATGTTCACTGGACTCTTTTGAGCCTCTGCAATTTTTCTCACAGCCCCATCCTTCCATCTTTGTTTTTCACCAGCCAAAAGATGACAGCCCTGTAATTTACTACATCAAGGACGAAAGATGTTTGTGTATTTATTTTCTGTCCCATTACCACCCATCTGTAAATGTCATTGCCTTAGTGTGGACTCACACCTTTCAGTTAAAGAAAACTGTTTCCTTTTGAAACATTTTTTTTAATCTTTACCCCTCACATCGTTGTCTGTTTGAAGACAAGCAGAATCATCATGTGCGTATATGTACCTGTAGTTACATCTAAAGAGCTGTAGTGTTTGAAGATGCTGCGCTCGTGTTTTAAATGCCAAGTCATCGTATTTATTTGTCTGCTTTCAGGTTGCCTTTTTTTTAACTAATGTAAACAGTCTGTGTAATGACTGACTGAGAGGATCCTCTTTAGTGTTCATTTTCTTTCCTGTTTGTAAGTGCTTCGCTCTGAAAGCTCATCTGTAATCACCGTCATCCAAAGATATCACCATCCGTCGCTTTTTGTTAAATGAAAATGGTGAATTTGCAAATTCTGCCAATTTGCACATGGACCTTCATTGCACTTGTTACATTATAAGTTCATTGGTTTGTCGAGACGTCTTTGTGCAGACTGCGTATCCAGTGTTGGAATTTTCATACACCAGTGTTTGATATATTTTAAGACATGCTTGTTTTATTTGTGTTTGCACGCTTTCTCTATAATTATCGATTAATTTATTTGATCCATTCAAGGGAAAACGTGGCGAAACCAACCCTATTGATTTTATTTATCAGTCTTAAATAGGACTTGGGGCATGCAACACAATGTTTTTCTTCCTTTTGTTGGCTTATTACATTTAAAACTTTATTTTGGGTTGTTTGCATCTACAAGTTGTAAACAGTTGAACCACATTTGGATTTCAACTTTTCCTTTTTTTGTCCAATGATTCCCAAGAACCACGGTAAATTAGATTGGAGGAAACTCTTTAAAAGGAGTCCTGTTTTCAGTTAGGAAACTGGAGTAGTTGTAGGAGCTCTGAGCTCCTTCAAAGGTTATCATGACTTCCTACAATGTGTTGCGTTTACTTGCAGTGTTACTTTTATATCCAAATCTTGAATGGCAAGGAAATGTACTCGGTGCTGTGTATTGTTGGGGCGGATTATGTGCTCGTATGTTGTGCGGATCTCTCGGGACGTGAAATTAAGCGTCTCGGCTCACAGATCAATTATGAATTACAAAAAGGATTTGAATTAGTCTGTATCAATATGCTACTTAATGTAACTTTTGTTGCTTGTGTGTTCCCAGTGTGAATGTTTCCGTTCTATGGGATGGTCTTTGAGCACTGAGTTTGATTTAGTTGCGTAACTTTGCTGTGGAGAATCATTCATTGAAGCCATGACTCGCTGGTCTTGATCCTTTGTTTTTGCACCCATTTCCTCCTGGCCCCACCTCGAAACCATCACTTAAGCTACATTATGCAATTGCTTGCAATGAATCAAATTTGCACATCGTCTTCATCAATGTTTTTAATATATATTTACACATCAAAAAGCTTTTTTCTCTTTCTTTTAAATATTTTGTTGCGTGAACCAAAAAAAGAAAAGTCGAGGATGTCAGGAGAGTAACATTTCTACTTTAATTTTAAACCTTTTGTTTTTGAACCTGTCAATTGTTCACACTTTTTTTAAATCAACCGTGTTTCCAACCTTTTCTGTATAGTTGTATATTGTAAGTGTACAATAGCAATAGATATACTAGCTGGTGTAAATGCATGCTTCTACATTATTTTTTAAAGGCAGTCCAGCCATCTGTGACGATTTCTCTGCTGTCAGCACTTTGGTCTTTGGAAATAAGACGCCTTACTTCACACTGTGGATTTCTGAGGGCTCCTGGAATCAGTGTGGAAGGGGGTTTCTGCTTCTTTGCAGTCTGTTGTAATCTTACTATGCTTCTCTTATGTTATGTGGGCTTGTTTTGGTTTGTGAAGATATACAGGACTCTGTGTAGTCAAAACTCTGATGCCAGTTAATTTCATGTCTTGTCATCTTAGACCAATCACTGTATCATGTTGATCACTGCTCATCTCTTAAATAGGAAGAGTGTTCTACTTCCATCTCATTGGGGTTTGATTCTGTGATTGTGCGATGGCTAATTTAAACAGGAAAAGGTGCACGCTCGCGCCTCCCAATGCTTCAGAATACCGAGAAGCAATCACTGCAGTATTGTGCGCACTCAGAGGCATCGGTTGATTTATTCCTCATCAGCTGTCTTCATTACTGCTCTTATACACACAAAAGGTTTCATTCAGGACAATATGGTTTTGACATTCTCCGTCCCAATTAAAAAAAAACAAAAAACAAAGTTCCTCAGCAGGAGATGTGGTCATTCTTTGAACAGTTCGTTGTGTTTCATCTTGTTTTATTACAAAAGTTCTGTACAGTGAAACAAAAACACACAAAATAACCATTTTCTTTCAAACCACAAATTCTATTCAGTAATCCCCTTTCAAAGTAAGATTTCCAATGTGAGAACTGAATGCCCGCAACATGTAATTTTCCTATGCAAACAGCCCTGTAGGACGACATGAATAGAGCAGAGAAACCATCGGGTGTGAAAATGACCTCGCTTGCCAGCGAATAGCTGAACAGAAGTGGGCATGGGAACTTTAGCCTCTGTCAAATTCTCTTTGGCTTCAAGCCTGCCATGCTCAGTCGTCCAACTAATTCTGCAGAAATGAGTGAATAATCTCACTCTCGGGGCACAGCAATGGATTGTATGCAGGTCCAAAGTCATGTGAGGTGGTTGGAAATAAGTAAAGCTCCCTTTTTGCTGTGCATTCACTTTTTTTTTTTAAAATCAGCCATGGAAGAGGAGAGGCACTATGGTGCAGAAAGAAGGCTCTCAGTCTAATGACTCATTCTTAATGATTGTTGAGGTACATACTGAGATTGCAGTCAAACAGGGTCTTACACTTCTAGCTGAAGGGAGTATAACATAAAGCACCTGAAGTCACTTTGCCAAATTAAGAGATCCTCATTCTTAGAAAAATAATTCTAGTCATCACTTGAGCAACAGTGCTGTGATTGTGTGCTGAAGAGCAATGCAACGTCTGTACAGTGCGATTACCTGCTCTTGTTAAAACCAGACTTTGGTGCCCGGTGCCTTGATGCGGCTTTATTAGCATCATTACAGTTAACAGATGCTAATCGGCACTCTGACGAGTCAGTCTTTCAAATATGGTGGCATTACAAAAATAAGTGAACAATCTCCATCTAATGTCACTTAAATATTCCTATGTCTCTAGGCGTGAACACAAAATGTAAAAATAATAAAAAAAATACAGATTTGTGACAAAGGAAACTTGTTTCCACTGGATTGTCATAGTTTAAATAACTTCTGCACTGGAAGTGCCAGGTTCGGCTTCATTTGGAAACCTCACATGTGAAACTGATGTAATACCAAATGGAAAATTTCCCAGCCCCACCCTCCCTCAAAAAAAAAGGATGTGGAGAGTAAATGAAAATGATGATGTACTTTGTGACCCAGCTACCCGGAGTCTGAAGGATAATCCTGCAAATATCACAAAAGGAGAAAAAAAACGTCCAAAAAGCATCCAGGTTTCTTTCTCCATCTTGTAGTGAAAACTCCCAACAGCGTGACAGTATATACCAGCAAATGATAGTACATTAAATTAATTTACACTGACATGTAAATAATTCTTTTTCTTTATCCAAATCAATTTCATGTACATACAAAAACCACTACGTTAAAAAAAACAAAACAAAACAAAAAACAAAACAACTACATGCCGCTGCACAAAATTAACCAGGATAAAAATACAAATCATCAATTTAAAAAAAAAAAAAAAAAATATGTACATTTCCAAATCGATTTTATTTTTTAAGTCGATAAGCATCTCCCCGCCCATTTACAAACCTCAGATATGTGCGCACACACTGACACATGCTTGTGCACAAACTGCTCACACTGGAACATTCAGACAAACAAATGTCTCTTTGGCTGGTGTGAAGCTGTGGCACTTTGCTGTGTGTGTGTGTGTGTGTGTGTGTGTGTGTGTGT